CCTCCTCCACTCCTGCACTGGTCTTGGTGTCTGCAGGGCTGTTTCTCTTGCATATTCTCACTCCTCTCTCCCGGCTGCTGTTATGCAGCCGTTTTTACCCCTTCTTAAATATGTTATCACAGAGATGCCAGCAATGTTGCTGATGGGCTCATCCTTGGCCAGCGGCTGGTCCGTCTTGGAGCCAGCTGGCACTGGCTCTGTTGGACATTGGGGAAGCTTCTGGCATCTTCTCACAGAAGCCAATCCTGTAGCCCCCTGCTACCAAAACCTTGCCATGTAAAACCAATACAACTTCATAGCTTTCTCTGGGATAAATGTAGATAAACTGTTTGACCTTGGGCTTTGGGATCAGAGCTCAGACAGTTGAACAAAGAGGGCAAGAGTCCCAAGCAGTTACTACCATCACCAGAGTAGAAGAACCTGTAGAGAACAGCTTTTGATTCTGACAAACTGCATAACTCTGGCATCTTCTGCATCCTGTCAAGTTGCTGGTAATGAGATTTGGCTGAGCTGCAGGACAGAGCAGGACTCTGTTCATGATTTAAGTAGTGATCTTTGTTAGGACTTCAAGGGTACTTAAATGCTTAGGCACCTTTATAAGGGCTTTAATTAGGTACAGTTTTTCACTTGTCTTTGTATTTGGGGCTTGTACAGGTTACGTGAAAATCTGCAGTTGCTCACTGCTGCATTACGTTGCTGTGCCTCAAGATTCACGTTCTTCCTGGCTGGAGGGGTTTATTTTAAGGTTATTACTGGAAACGGGACTGTTTTGTAGAAACAGATTAAAATTGCCAAGCTTGAAGTCAGTTGTTCTCTGTCTCTCCCTGCCTTGAAAAACAATCTCTCTAAGCCTAGTAATGAACACATCAGAAGATACTCTCCCCTACTGCCAAAGAATAAAGAAAAGAAAAAATAAAAGAGAAAACAAAAGAACTTGGGGGTCAGGAGAAGAGAGCAAAACCCAAGCAAATTGGATAGATTGTGGTAAGAAATGTACGGGAAAGAAGAGTTATTAATATGAGCAGATGCTGCACAGACATTATGCATTGCTTAGTATTTATAGGCATGGATCAATTTTAAGCCAAGAGAGTGAATTTATGCAGTATCAGTGAGCTTTTCTGGGTGGCACTGTAGCTGATGGGGTGTGCATTGACTTAACAGAATCCACTTTGCTTGTACCTTGAGTTCTTGGCTGTCTTTGTTCTCACTCAAGATTTTCCAATAATTTTGTGCAGGGAAGAAAGAAAACCGTAACACAAATACCTAACTCTTGTTTTCACTTCTTATTGTCTTTATTACATCTTGTGTGCTGGGTGGCTGCCTCCAAAGTACATCGCAAACATATTAGGGAAATCTTTCTTATGGAAGTGTTCTTCAATGGGAATTAAATACTTAAAGATTTTCTTTCCCTTTGTCCTGGTTTCAGCTGGGATAGTGTTCATTTTCCTCTTAGTAGCTGGCACAGCGCTGTGGTTTGGATTTAGGATGAGAAGAATGTTGATAACTCACTGATGGCTCAGTTGGTGCTGAGCAGGGCTTACACCAGGCAGGCACTTTTCAGCTTCCCCTGCTCTGCCAGGGGCACAAGGAGCCGGGAGGGGGCACGGCCAGGACAGCCGACCCCAACTGGCCCCAGGGCTATTCCAGACCATAGGGCCTCATGCCCAGTATAGAAACTGGGGGGCAGCGACCACTGCTCGGGGATGGGCTGGTCATTGGTTGGTGGGTGGTGAGCAATTGCATTGTGCATCACTTGTTTTGTATATTCTTTTATCATTATTATTATTGTCATTTTCCCTTCCTTTTCTGTCCTGTTAAACTGTCTTTGTCTCAACCCACAGGTTTTACTTTTTTTTTTTTTTCCCCCGGTTCTTTCCCCCATCCCCTGGGAAGGGGGGGAGTGAGCAAATGGCTGTGTGGTGTTAAGCTGCCTGCTGGGTTAGACCACAACACCCTTAAAGATGGGAATTGTGGGTTCCCTGTTAAAGAATTGATAGGTTTTGAAGTTCATTTGCTCCTGTTCCCTCCCCAGAGCCTGTTTGCCTGAATGAGCGGAGGGAGAAAGCGTTAGGTAGTTGCAGAAGCACAGTGTGCTCGGTGTGTGTTTTGAGCGTGCACAACGTTGTCTGGAGGGCTGCTCTTTTTACCTGAGTCAGATTTTCTTTCCAAGTTCCAGACCTGCTCTTGATATCTGCGTGATGGTAACCTGAGTTGAGAGAAGCTAAGGAGAACCTTCCAGCTCAAATTTTACCATCTTGTCAACATAACTTAGACCTAATTACTGAGATAGGTCAAGTGTTTAAGCTTTTCTAATTTGGATGTGAAAATGTGAGCTAAACCCTGGCCCAAGAGCCCTGGTAAGTCAGTACTAATGAACCAGAGGGCATATATAGGTGGAAAGCATTGTCATACACGAAGGGATATCTGCCTGTCTAGAGATACGGGAATAGGTTCGTCACTTGAATTGCTCTGCATAAGCACCCTTCTTACAGAGCAGAAGCTGGCGGGGTGCTTGTGTTACTGAGAATGAGGACATTAAGCTGCTCAAAAGAAAAGGCTGTGAGATTGTTGCAGATACATCCTTACACCTGTTTCATGACGCTTGGTGGCAGTGGGGTGGTCTCTCTGTGTGAGAACTAGGCCCTTGGGGTTACAGCAGAACTGGAGTTGCCCCATACTTTGTGCTTCTCTGCATGTTTGAAAACATGGAAAGCAGTTCTAGTTTCTGGAGAATATCCTGGCTTAAGCTGCTGTTAGTGTTACAGGAAAAAATAATTTTCTGGAACTTCTTCCCTTTCAATTTCTGGATGCTCATGTTTTTGTTTCCTTGCTGTTTCAAGGTAATTCTTTTCTATTTTATGGAGACAGCATTTTTATAAACGTTGTGTTAGAACCTGTTCTGCACGATGACTGTGAATGTGGTGAGGGTTTTTTTTGTTTTGTTTTCTATTTTGTTTTTCTTTTAATTGCCACTCTAATGAGTAAGAAACAAGAGTTCAAAGTATTCCTTCTTCCTTTGGTGCTTTTTCAAGCATATGGTGATGACTTTGGACAGTTCTCTCAGCATGACTCATTAAAAGGAAGGCATTTTGCCTCTTCTGGCACGTGCACAGTACTTGACATGCCTTGACAGTAGAAGGGCATGAGGATGAGTTTTGCTCTGCGATAGGAGAGTGAGGGTTACTAAGATCCTTTCCAAGAGCTGTCTAATGGGATCAGCTTGTGTAGTTGGCTCGTCCCAGAAGGTTATGAGGATTTTAGCATGCTTCTTGGCTTTCTTGACCTGCACAACAGAGAATATCTGTTAGTGGGGCTTTCCTGTGTTTTCTCCCTTGTGTATCATGAAGGCAAAGGTCAGCTTAACCGAAATCAGTTTTGGGAATAGCATGTCAAAGGAGTTAACATTGTCCAAGTGTGCTTATGGCATACTGTTCTGTGCTTGCTGCTAGAGTACAGAAGGGTCCTCAGGTCACCAGGCCTGCTCTAAGGTCAGCAGGGTACTGTATTTCTGTGGTCTCGATGAGTTATCAGGGCCTCCCTGGAATATACCCTGTCAACTCTTCCAAGCTGAACCAGGAACGGGAATCCAAGAACTGCATGGCTGTGGGTAGCGGTCATTCTGCACAAGACTAGGTCATTTCTTAAAATTTTTTTTCTCCAGCATTGACAGGATCCAGGCAAGCCTTGGGGCTACTGGACTCAGCTCTATAGGAAACCCTTCAGTCAGAACTTGAAGTGAATGAGACAGGTAAAGGACGGGGAAAGAGAAGACATACCCAACGTCATCCATCAAATCAGTGGCGATCATGAGATTGGAGTGAAGAGCTGGAAAAAAAATGTGAGCATGTAACTTCCTCTCTAATATAAATGCTCTACTAGATTTCTATTCTCATTTAAAAATAAAAATTTTACCGCAGGTAAATTCCACCTTTAAAAAAAATTAACCAAGGACTTTGGTAGTAAACTGCAGTACATTTTTTCTTTATCATAAAGCTGATTCTAGTATACTCTGATTGCAGAGGTTGCAGAGGAGGTTGGGATCCAACTCTGGTAAGTCTGGGGACCCACTGGACTTGTTGGCTCTTCAGGGCAAAAAAAAAAAGAGACCAGTAAAAATAGATGAAAGAGTGGAGACGTGATCAAGTCTTCTCCACGTCTCATTGCTGAGGACTGCAGAGAGAGATGAACAGTTTCCAGGAGCGTGTGTTTGCTGTCCAGTCATGGACATTATGAATTTGTGTGTTGTCACCCTGCAGTATAGCATCTGTTCGGATCAGGTGGGGATACACCATCACATTTCCATCAAGCCAGCTGAAGCACGTGACACAATACTTATGCTAGCTTTATGTTTCTGGTCTGACTGCCGGCACAGAGTGCCTGATTTGTCATGACGCTGTCTGGCACCGAAGGTAAACCTCCAGAATGTTTTTGACAGATGGGAACTTGTATTATGAGGTTACACTGGACCAGAGTCATGTGGCTGTAGCACCTTTGCTTCGATTTGGGGAAACCAGATGACAGGCTTGAGCCACAGTCTGACCCTGGTCAGCTGTGGATCAGCACCAGCTACTGTTGAAGAAATCCTGCTGCAAGTGACTTGCCCTGCTGAATTTATAGCAGAGGCCACGACAAACACGAGCTTTTCTCTCTCCTCCTTCATCTGTATTCAAGCCACCTATAGACTCGTCCTTTCTCTTGCATTTATCTTTCAAGTTGGTGGCTCTGAGCTCAGTGCTGCAGCGATTTGTTGTATAACAGGGTCACTTAAGTACCCTGTGCACCCATTCCGTCCTCTTTGTGCTTCATCTCCCTGCTTGCCAGAGATGCAGTGGCTTTGCACAAGGCTGTGGTCTGCCCAGAGGAAAAAAATGACATTTTGGTTCTAAGCTGGTCAGTCAGAAGAACACAAAAGTGATTCCACGGAAGGACTGATGGGACTGTTTTGGTCTTGTACTTTGAGATATTGAGAACTATATCTGTGGCTGTCAGTGGGAGCTGCTGGCTGAGTTTCTTATGCAGTGGGCAGAATACATGACTCCAATTGTTCTGTGCTGTATTTAAGCATTTAGTATGGCATTTGGGGATGCGTCATTGATCATAGCACCTCTTTGTGCCTGTGACTTTCCAGACAACGCACTAGCTGTGCAGTTAGCAGCCTGTTTAGAGATATTGGTGTCCTCCTTGCTCTGCCTCGTTGTACAACATACTGGGTTTGAAAGGATATCTGGGCAAGTTCTGTGTCTGAACAGGCCCTTTATGTCAGCTGTCTGAAACCCAGCAGATGCCACCAGGAAGTGGACAGCGTCCCAGTGTATTTTTGGTAGCATATTCAAAGAAGTACAATTGCAAAATGGAAGTAGATGCAATGAAACAGTGAATTCTTCAGTTAGCTTCAGCTTTGAGCTGTCATCCTTTTTTCAATTAATTGTCATACCGTTGGTTCTGAAATGCATTTGCTCCTCTGGATTCTTGCACAACCATTCTTCATTCCTTTAACTTGCTTCAGGAAGGATGTCTGCTTTTCTTCCCTGCCTTCCACCACCATCCCCAACTACAAAGATCTTCTGGGATCATACATGAGACTTTTCTTTACATAGGAATAAAGTTTTTACTGTAGTTTTTACTCTTCCAAATATTGTTTTTGTGGTTGTTGCTGGGCGACAGACCTTTTTGGACAGGAGTCTAATGATCCCTGTGACATACATGCTTCCTTAAATCTGTAACAGGGTTGTGGAAGTTTAATGCTTCCCCCCAGAAAAGGAAGCCATGCTTTTACCTTGCAGGTTTTTGCTCTGGTTGCTTTGTGCACAGTGGGCTTCAGGCTCCGGTGGCCTTTTCTAAATGACTGAAACTGTCCCTCTCTGTGGTGGAGCAGGGTGTTGCAGACCTGCCTGCAAATTAGGTGTTGACAACATGCAGAAATTAGGCCTGCTCAGAAACGCGGTCTGTGCAGTTGCAGCAATAGGAGCTTATTGCCATTCTCTTCTATGCGTTCCCTCCGATAGAGTGTGTTGTGTGCCATGGCAGAGAGTACTTCTATCTTTCAAGTGTCTACACCACAATTGCATTTACATGCGGAGACGCTTGTGTGTATGCATGTATGTGCTTACATGTTCTCCCTCCCCACCTCTGCTAATTTTCTCAGTACCAGTCTGGTTTAAGATATGTCTGCTCTACAGACAAAAGCAGAACAAAAAGCTGCTGCTAGGAAAAAAAGGAGATGGATCGACTATTTTAATGGCTTCTTGTGAGCTAAATGGTAAAATTTGTTTGGCAGTAAATAGATGAAAAAAAAGATTATGTAGAGGAGCCCTGCAGCTTTTTATGCTCTTCCCCTCACTGGAAATAGTTAATGCATGCTCATCGCGTTTCACCCGACCCTTGCTAAGATGTAATTGTGATTTACTGTACTTTCTCTATTTCCATGGTATATCTGTCTAGCCTTATGTAGTGAACATAAACCTGCCATGGATATATGGGGGGTTTTAAAGTTTTTGGAGTGCTTCAGATAAGTGTTTAGTATTGGGTAATGATTATGTTATTCCACATCAGTTTTTCCCGATGCAAGTTTTAAGGAGATGTGGGTTCTTGCTGGTCTGGGAAATAAGCAGGAAAGCAAACTTGTCCTGTTACACACTAAGATGATGAGTGGACATGAAGTGGAATTATATGGATTCACTGCATGTATATACTCTGAGGCTATCTACATACTTTTTTTAATCTGAGTTTGCCCCAGGGATTTTCCTGTGAAGTGGTGCACATCTTCAGAAATCTGTAGCCAGATTTCTGAATCGTTGTCTAAACACCTGAATGAATGGCCAGAGTTACTTACAGGAGGATGATACAGGGCTATGGCTTCATTATGGCTGCTGAGCTTGGAGGCAGACACTTAAACTCATTTGATATGCTGGCTTCATCCGTACAGATGGATCACTGCTGAGATAACTATTGACCTCAGTGAAGTTATGACAGAAGACAGATTTGGTGCTGTTAGCCTCATTTAATGCTGGTGGTATTTGCCTCAATCTTACATGGATAATAAATAGATGGAAAAGGCAGAGCACTGGAACGGGGAGGAGTTGCAGTTGTTCCCCACTACATTTGCAAGGTGTAAGCCTCCACGTGTATTTAGGTTACTGTTCACATGTGAGACTTCTGTCAGGATTTTGGTTGTGAAGGCTAATCCCACCGCTGTATTAGAACTGTGGTGATCTTTTCCCCTCCTTGGAAAGGCATAAGGTGGTGTTGGGCAGAAGGTGCCCGTGACCTATGTTGGGGTCTGTTAACAGTAGCAGTGGAGCTTTTGGCTGAGTCTTTGTAGGGTCTTCAAAACTGTTTGATCCTGATGTAGTGTTTTCTGTCTTTCATGTAATTTGGCTGCATTTCAACTCCAAAGTCCCATCCTTTCTCCTCAGGCATGTGCCTCTGTCCTGGTTTCGGCTGGGATAGAGCTAATTTTCTTCATAGTAGCTAGCATAGTGCTGTGTTTTGGATTTAGTACCAGAAGAATGTTGATAACACACTGATGTTTTCAGCTGTTGCCAAGTAGTGCTCAGACTACTCAAGGACTTTTTGAGCTTCTCCTGCTTGCCCAGGTGCATAACAAGCTGGGAGTACAGCACAGCTAGCACAGCTAACCCAAACTGACCAAAGAGCTATTCCATACCATATAACGTCATGCGTGGGGGGGGGCGGTTAGTTCGGTCGGTCGGTCGCGGGGAGACTGCTCGGGGCTCGGGGACTGCTCGCGGCTCGGGACGGGCTGGGCATCGGTCGGCGGGTGGTGAGCAATTGCCTTGTGCCTCATTCGTTTTGTATATTCTGTATATTCTGTTATCATTCTCATTATTACTATTATTATTATTTTCTCTTATTAAACTGTCTTTATCTCAGCCCTCAGCTCTAACCTTTTATTTTCTTTCCGATTCTCTCCCCCATCCCACTGGTTAAACCACGCCAGCCTCTAAGAGCTTGATTTGCAATGCATGGGCTATCAGCCCAATTTTGAATTTCCAGACGTCAGAAGTAAAGGGAGAAGCCCAAACAATAGAGTGTGTCCTTTTCAAACTGATGTCGCTGCTCTTTAAAATGTTAACAGATTTTAAATAATGTTGAATGCTTATTATGCACTGACATTATTAGCTAAAGTAGTAGTTTGTTTGGCTGGAGACCGAAGACTGGATGTTGAATAGAATAACTCTTAGGCGCTTTGTATGTAAGACATCAACTGTGTGATCTACAGGGGGCTGTTCTGTTGGGGCATGCTGTCCCCCATGTCCAGTGTACAGTGTATCCCTCTTGCACCTTCCTCGCTTTTGCGTTTTAACTTCTTTATCCTGCTCGTACTCTGTGAATGAATGTGATCTTTGCCATTAGTTATTCTTCAGTGCATCCACAGGTGTTTCCATTACCTTGTTACCCCAGCAGATCACATACTTTTTTAAAATTTGTTTTCCTTCTGATTTAGGATTATAGGGCAATTCAGATCAGAAGGGACCTGAGGAGGTTTCTAGTCCAACCTCCAGCTTAAAGCAGGATCAGTTATGGGAGCGGATCAGGTTGTTCAGGGCTCTATCCAGCTGGGCCTTGAAAATTTCAAAGGGTGAA